TATTAATAAGATTACCCTTTGAATGTTGATTTATAATTCATAATACATTCTCACATGTTCACATGCTATATTCGTAATGACCCAGGGAGGTAAGCAATGATACTATTCTCATTTCCCAGTTAAGAACCTGAGAGTTCAAAGGTTAAAATAAGAATTCACAAGATCAGCAGATGGTATAATGGTTATATTGCTGGACTCCGATCTAGTCGACCGCGATTCAAGTCCCAGACCCAGCAGCTTAAAACTCATGCCAGGCACATGTGCACGCATGCCCAGGATCCTGAGAGGAGAATGGAGGAGAAGTGATTGTGGTGTGGCTGTGCCCCCAGCAGGTGATTTCTTGCTTTTCCTTGCAAGTCTCTCTAGCAAGTACACTCACCCTATAGTAACAATCTCTTTAAAAAAAAAAAAAGAAAGAAAGAAAGAAAGAAAGAAAGAAAGAAAGAAAGAAAGAAAGAAAAAAAGAAAGAAAGAAAGAAAGAAAGAAAGAAAGATTTACAAGATCCACTTGGCTCTTCAGGATCCCCAACATCCTAGGATTTCAGGAGGGTTACCTTTGTTCTTCATTTCATGAGGTTTGTAAGGTAGTTCTAACACGTATATAATGTAAAAGATCTAACCATAAACAACTCTATCAATAAGAAGATCCCACTGTTAGAAATAGACTCAGGAGTTGGACTGTAATGGAAAACAAATCAGCTTTCAAGATAGATGATCTAACCAGAGAAAACAGGTAGGAAACCAAGCCATGCTCTTTTCCCCAGTGATCCTGAATCAAAAGAACAAACAAAATCAAATCTATAACTCACTCGAATTCCAGGCCTTGTTTTGGCATCATTCAGGGTAACACACGTTCTGGCTTTCAGAAGATCCTGGAAGATTTTCAGTTGAATCTATACTCATAGCAGTGGAGAAGCAGATAACTGGATAAAACACAAAGTATCTTTTTTTATGTTTCTCAACCAACTATGGGCAACCATATTAAGGAGAAAAGAAGATACATATTTCTCAAGTTAGATTTGAGTAAGAACAGGAAATTGCATCCTTTAAAATAGGTAAGATTTCCCATCACATAAATATATAATAATGGCCTTCTATCATTTGGGTTAACATTTATATTACCTAAAATAAACTCTCATCCTGATGTTGTTCTCTAATTGGCATGTGACAGAGTGCACACTGAAACAAATATCAGTTCAGAAAGCATCCTTTCTCTTTATAAGAAATCTTCAGATTTTCCTAAACAGACAAACTTTATTTTGTTGCTATGCAACTGACACGCACCATAGTTCATCAGACTGTAAATAAATTATGAATTTTACAATGAAAAGTCTTTTCTCCTTGTTTGAGAATAAGCCACAACTTCCTTTCATGCTCTCCTAATCCACCCCAGTCTCTAAAGCTGTTTCACAAAGGCCAATGTTTTGGCAAGATAAACAAGCAAATGAGTAACACAGCAATGACCCAGATGTGGACTGCACCCAGCATGCTAAGAAGCATCGATACCATTCCATTTATTCCTACAGGCCTGAGAACCTGAGCTCCCCCAGCTCGCTGGAGAGAAGGAAGTTTATTTCACACCCACCTTCTCCCAGGTAGCAGAATATAAGCAAACTTAAACAAAAGAGATTCTGGCAATTTCAGTTGGCAGTCACCCATCACTACTACAGGTTTCAGGCATGATTCTATGTAAGAGCATGAAAGTGATTTCAGCCATGCTAGAAATAGCTCTGGAGACAAGATGCTCCAGGGGTTAAACCTTGGGACTCATGGGCCAGATGTAGGCAACATCCATGTTTAACAGGACTGGATTGATGTTTAAGATGTTACATATTTGCCAACGTTTAAGATCTTTATATAAAACTATACATCTAACATTTCTTGAAAAACTATAAAATAACACTGGATTTGCATTTTCAAAAACAAAATCAGTTAGAGTCAATTTTCAGTAAAAAGCTGGAAACAATTCACACATCTCACAATAGGAGAATACACCAATCACAATGTATTCCTGCAACGGATCCCTGCAGAGCGAGAGACAGAACAACTACCCATATACTCGGCATCATAAATGGATTTCCTACACATTAGCAACAAACCAGCAGAGCAGACATTGTATGGTTTTACTTACGTGAAGTTCAAGACCAGTCAGAATCAGTCAGTGGCAATGGCAATTAGCACAAGTGCCCTTCTAAGGGGACGTGGGTACCTTGATGACAGAAATATTCTATATCTTGATCTGGAAGGTGATCATGTGGGTGTTTATGTAAAACTTATCCACTTAATACATTTAGATTTGAGTACTTTATGTACTTCCCTGGGTATTCCATAAGAAATACAAATCAGCCAAAAGAATCAAGTGGTTAAGGAGCAGCTGGTCTGTTTAGATGGTGTATGGTTTCTACCTGTGGCCCACACCTAACAGCTGGCTGAACCAGAATCTCTGGGACTGGGACCTGGCAATCTGTCTTAATAAGCCCTCTGGGGGATTCTGATGCCCTTTAAAGTCTGAGAAACGCTTCCCTAGAGCACTATATACATTAAATAGCATAAAAAGCAGACTCAGCCTATACCAAACCATCCATTCCCTATTATCCCCTACCCCAAAACATTTCAAGAAACTCAGGAACAGAAAAGTCATTGGCTTCTTTAGAGAACTTCTATCAAGTTTGAATAACAAAACCCCTCCCTCGAAAGGGATGTGCAACCAACATGCCCCACCGTTGTCTCAACCTTCAGTTAACTTTGGTTTCACTATTACAACTGAATCTGTTTCACTCCTTTAAAAAGTGAAAACAATTGTCTTTCTGATTATGGAAAAAAAAAATCTGATCTAAAGCATTGAAGTATATTACAATTCTGAAGAAGTGAAAATCTACATTTAAGAAAATAACATAACTGAATCCGTATCACTCGTTTAAAAAGTGAAAATAATTGTCTTTCTGATTATGGAAAAAAAAATATCTGATCTAAAGCATTGAAGTATATTACAATTCTGAAGAAGTGAAAATCTACATTTAAGAAAATAACATGGCAAATGAAGAGAAGTTTATAAATGAAGGCAAATAATCCCTTCTCTCACTGTTCCTTGCATAAAACACCATTTGTGGATCTCTGTTTTGGGGGACGTTCTCGACATTTTAGCAATTCACTTCCCAACCACATACCATGATGGAGCCAAAATGGACATTCTGTACCAATATTAATAAAGGCATTTCTGAATCAGTTGGGGGAATCAAGAATGTGCTTATTATGTATGTATTTGTTGATTAATATTAGTTTGAAAATTATAAATCAATTACATAACACGACCATAGTATTTCCTCTTTGCATTTGGATTAAAATAAACTAAGGGACAATATTCCTTTACAATAGATTAGGTGATTCTTTTTTATCGGACTTAGATATGATTTCAGAAATAAAATCTACATTCGTGTCCATGCGAATGTGGAAGAATGCCCCATCGTTTAGAGGCAGAGAGGGAAAGAAGGGGAAAGAGACAGAGGAGGAAGGAGAATGAGAGAGCAAGGAAAAGAGAGAGGTCTGAGAGTAATAAAATATAATAACAATAAAGAGATTAAGTATAATAATCATACTGCATGGTGGTAATTCTCTCAATTGTTTCTTTTTTTTTTTTTGGAGAGGTTTTTGCTATAAGGCGTGTGCGCTCGCCAGACAGACAGAGAGAGACAGAGAGACCGAAAGCAAGAAATCACCCCCCAGGGGGAATGGTCACACCACAATCCCTTCTCCTTCTCCTTCATTCTTCTCTCAGGATCATGGGCACGCTCGCACACATGCCCGGCATGAGTTTTAAGTCACTGGGTCTGGGACGTGAACCACGGTCAACTACGTGGGAGTCCAGCGACATAGCCATTCCGCTAACTGCTGGTCCCTCAATTGCTTCATTCAGTTTCTCACAGTGGTTGAACTGGGGAGATGTGAGAAATCAACTTCAAAAGTACTTTGGTGGAACCAGCAGTTAGCGTAATGGCTATGTCACTGGATTCCCATGTAGTCTACCGTGGTTCTAGTCCTAGACCCGATGGCTTAAATTCACGCCGGGCACGTGTGCGTGTGTGCCCAAGATCCCGAGAGGAGAATGAAGGAGAAGGGATTGTGGCGTGGCCATCCCCCCCGAGGGGTGATTTCTCGCTTTCGGTCTCTCTGTCTCTCTCTGTCCGTCTGGCAAGCGCATGTGCCCTATAGCAAAAAAAAAAAAAAAAAAGTACTTTGGCTACCTACCAAGTTTACCCCTAATGTATCAAATGCATGGTTTGGGAATAAATGTAAAAGTTGAAGGATCAGGGCTTCACAGACATGCCAGCAGTGCAGGCAACAGGCCCCATCTTCTGAAAGGGGCCTCATGCTCGGAACATGATGCTCAGTGGTTGTTGGCTTGAAATCCTTAATTATTTTATCTTTAAATTTGTTCTGTGTAAGTGACGATTGAAGGGACATAGATCAATGTACTGGAGGCTTGGAGGCTAGCATCTATATTGTCCTGTCTCCTGCCACCTCCCCCTGTTCCCTGAATGGACTCTTAGCTGCTAGCTCAGCCACTCTGTCAACGTGGCTGGCCTCCACCCCTGCCTGACAAGGTCCTGACCATGGGCAGAGGAAGTGTCTATGCAAGTCACAGGGCAGTAGCCCAGACATCTGGGAGTATCTCCACCTGCCTTGTGAGTACCCAAGGAAACATGACATTAAATAGCAAATAAAAGACAGGTTCACATGACAGGTTAACACAAAAACTGTGGAAGAAAAAAAATGTTTCTTGCTTTTTCTGAACCAGGCACCCACATTTCCATTTGGCATGGTCCTCACTAGTTTTGTAGCTGGCCCTGCATGTGACTACAAATGAGAAAGAAAGAAAGAAAAGAGTACAGAGGAGCCAGGTGTAGGAGAATTAGGGGAGCAGGCATAAGGGAGACAGAGAAATTTGGAGCTTGGAGATTGGAATGGTTGGATTCCATATTGTTACAAATGAACCAGATATATTCTTTTCAAAAAATGTTTTATTTCTTTCTGATTAAAAAGCAGTATACATCATAAAACATTCCAATATATTCAGATGCTAAAAATGTGATTGGAAATCTACATTCAAAGGAGTAGCATAGATCAAGGTGTTAAGTATCTAGAAATTCACAAATTACCATCATCCATTCCAATTCTATCCAGTGCTACCTTCTCAGTGTTGTGAATCCAAATATATTTCTCCAGGCATTTTCACTATTTTTGAACCTGAGCTTAAGCACCACTGTTTAAGAATATCTAAACACAATGCAGATTGATAAACAGTGAGATCATTATCTTTCTACCTCAGTGTTCTCCACCGCCAGGTTTACCAAAGGATATCTTTTGTTTTCTAGCACGTTAGCCTGCCAGAAGATGACGTTGTCTAAACACATTTTCAGTGTTTTCTTTTTAACAGTTAATATATTTCCAGGATGCAGGTCCATTTCTTTCTAAAAGGTTCCTAGGACACTCATTGAAAAGTCAAAAGCAATGAACTAAAAGGGATTGCTATTTTGTTGGAGAAGAACGACACCCTTTGTATCGAAGTGGGGGATTGCAGACTGTGGTCACCCTCTGCACAGTGTCTCTTTGTCAAGTAATACATGCTGAAAAAAAAAATAATACAGATGGGAAAATATTGTGCACTGTCAGATTTTGGAAACGGCCAGAGGATTTTTCCTCACCAATGTCTTGTCGATGACTTTCACATTCTGGCACCCTGCAAAAAATAATGCATACATTTAATATGAAATGAATGCAATAATAATCAGGCAGGTAATCGTTTTCCCAAGGAATGTAAAACTTGACAAATGTAAGGTTTATGATTCAAGGTAGGCTTGCCAAATCTTATGTGGCATGAGACCATTTTTATTACCTAAACAGTCCTTAACACAAAATGACTGGCACATATTTTTATTAACACAAAGAGTATATTCTTTCTGCCACATTTAATAGAGAGTCCATGGCTGAAAGCTCTCTTTTAGGTTATGTCTGTAGCAAATTAAAATGCATAGTGAGGATTCACAGAATGTCATTCTTCTCTTTAAGGCTGCACTCGCATAGGCTCTGCACAGTAGTTAGTAGATGATTTATCTTGGGAGTTCTGTGTAGACAAACTGGATTATATGGAACACAGAGAAGGAAGACCTTGTTATCTTTAAAAAATGGCGTAGTTGATAATTAACTCAAAGCCATTCCCTGCAGCTCATCATCCATTCTGAGTCGAATTCAAAATAGTCACTAGTAATAATGGCACTTATTTATTTATTTGTTTGTTTGTTTATTTTTCCAACAAATATGTACTGTTTAGGTGCCAGGCACTTTTCTAGACACTAGAAATACTGTTGAAGACCACTAAGATTTCTGCCTTCTTGCACTCCAGAAGGGAAACAGATAAAATGTAAGACATAAAATTTTGTAAATGTGTTATGTAACAGATGATATTTAGAAGGTGATAGGTGCTATGGAAAAAGAATGAAATAAGAACAAGGAAAGAATACTGGAATTTGAATGGGTACATGAAAGATGAATTGCTATTTTAAGTAGAGTAATCAGAATGGACCCCATTAGAAAAATATAATTTACATGAAAACCTGAAAGACATAGGAAGTTATTCGTGTAGATATCTGGGCGAAGCGTGTCTAGGTAGAGGGAATAGCCAATGCAAAACCCAAAAGCTGAAACATGTCTGGCATAGCCAAGGAACATCAAGGAGGCAAATGTGGCCAGGATAAGAGTTAGTAGTAGGAGTTGTGAGGAGAAAGGTACTGAAGGTCAAACCAACTAAGGCCCTGCGACTGCCATAGTCCTTGCAGAGACTTTGGCGTTTATTTTGAGCAAAACAAGAGTCACTGGAAGATTCTAATCAGAAGAGTAACAAAATATGATTAATGATTAAAAAGATCATTCTATCAGGATCAGAAGAGTAAAGGAGAGAGAAGGTAGAAAAGGATCCAGGGGCAGGCCCAGAGTATTTACTAGAAGAAAGATGATGGCAAAAATAACAGGGAAACTATTGCAGTATCCAGGATGAAGAGAGATGGTAACAGATCTGGCCAGGGTGGTGGCAGTGGAAGTGGTGAATGAGGTCAGATGCTAGCTTTTGAAGCAAGAGCCCCTACAAATGTGAGGGTGTGAGACAAAAGAATCAAAAATGACTTCAAGATTTTTGACTTAGCAACTTGCAATTATGGTATGAACATGGACTGAGATTGAAGAGAGTGCAAGTGGAGCAAGTGTAACAGAAAAAGTTAGCTGGTTTTGGGCAGGTAGAGTTTGAGATGACACTTAGACTTTCATATGGAGGTGTTGACTAGCCAGTTAAACCTATGTGTTCATGTGTTGTGAGATGAAAAAGAGCACAACATAACATCCACTCTCGAGGTGCTCATACTCACCAAAATATTCCTAATGAGGCTGTCAAAGATGGAACTAGCAGATGGCATAATGGTTACATCCCATGTAGTCAAGCACAGTTCAAGTCCTAGACCTGGCAGCTTAAAACTCAGATCAGGTGCATGTGCATGCATGCCCAAAATTCTGAGACAAGAATGGAAGAGAAGGAATTGCAGCATGGCTATCCCCCCTGGGGGGTGATTTTTCACTTCCTGTCTCTCTGGTGAGCACATGTACTTTATAACAAAAATCTCAAAAAAAAAAAAAAAAGACTATCAAAGGCATCTACACATTTGAGATCATTGTCACTAAGTGACTGGTATTTACACCAGAGTTCCTCAGTTAAGAAAGAGATCTGCATAGCACTATAAATGTAAAGTCACTTCAAATCTAATATAGAACAAAATGATTCCCCTTTTCTTCTACTTCAAATTAACTTTATTCCATCAATGAGTCTGGATTCAAAACCAGAGAAGACCAAGAAGAAAAAGAAAATTATAAGTGAGAACTATGAGTCTTACCACTCAGAGCCATGGCCAACCGGAATTCTTCTTTCAATATCTCAAGGACATCCTGGACACCTTTCTCCCCCTAACCAAGTAAAAGATACAGCACTATTGGGTAAAGCTGTCTGATGGGTTTCAAGAATATTTATTGCACAGTCAAATCATCCTGTGTTATATATTCATTTTTTTTTGTCCAATTACCTGGCAGGCCAAGCCCCATATGATGGGTCTCCCCACAAACACAGCCTTGGCACCCAGGGCCAGAGCTTTGAGGACATCAGTGCCTTTCCGCACACCCCCATCCAGAAAGACTTCCACCTTCCCTTCCACAGCCTCCACAACTTCTGGCAGAGCATCAATCTGTGGAGAGAAGAGGTTACCGTGACACTATTAACACTGAATAACACAGTATACCTCCAAAGACCACTGGACCATTTATTTCTTAGAGTGAAAGCAGTTAAGTAGGTTTGGAATCAACAGTAAGTCTACTTCCTTCTGAAATAAAGTAGGTGCAAATGCTAGTAACTGAAACAAAACAAAACAAAAACAAAACAAAACACAACAAAAAACTAAATTTAGAATTGAGAGGCTAATTTTCTTTCAAATTCCAAGGTTCTTTTTCCCCCCAACATTCAAATTTAAAGATCATGATCAAAATAAATTTTATAGATTTGGCTACAGTGGTACATACTGCTAAGGAGGCTGGGGCCACATGGGAGGCCAGGGTTCTACTCCTGGCCTGACCTAAACAGGACAGGCTCAGTGTTGCACACCTACGGTGCTAGCTAGCTGAGAAGCTGGGGCAGGAGGGGCCTGACATGGCAAGACCCTATAAAAAACCAATTGATCAATTTCTCTCTCTCACTCTCGAGTAAATAAGCAAATCTTTAAAAATTGCAAATATAGGGTCAGCTGGTAGTTTGGTGGTTAAGGCCACTGGGTCCCATATGGCTGACAGAGTGGTTTGAGTCCTGGACCCAGTAGCTTAAAAATCCCACCATGAGTATATGCATGTTTGGCCCAAATCCCAAAAGGAAGGAAAAATAGAGGAGCAGGGATTACAGCATGACCATTCACCATGAGGAGTGCCATCTCACTTTCCCTCCCTCTTTCTTTCTCTGTCTCTCTCCAGTAAATGCATGCAGCCTCTGGGAAAAATAATTAATTATAAATATAATTTTAAAGCCTGATAGTTTATATTGGGTTGTAGGAAAAGTCATAGCATATTTTTTCTATGTTTTTCTATGCAAAAATGCATCATGACTTTTCTGACATTCAATAGTTATTTTCCATAAAAGGCATAAAAGCAAATGAAATATCTTGTTGATATAAATTATTGTTATCTTTATTTACTTAATGAAAATTAATTGTTGAACTGGCCTCATGCCTCAAGGTTATAAGAGCTGGATCTTGCAGGGCCAGCTGTGGTTTGAATCCTGACCTGAAGGCTTGAAAAACACACTGGGAACATGTGTACGTATGTTCAAAATCCCCACAGGATGGAGAAATGAAGGAGAAGGGACTGCAAGATGATCATGCCCCACTGGGGGGTGCTTTCTCCCTCTCTCTTTCTGTTTGGCCAGTGTATGTGTTCTCTGGCAATTAAGAAAAAGGAAAGGAAAGGAAAGGAAAGGAAAGGAAAGGAAAGGAAAGGAAAGGAAAGGAAGGGAAAGGAAAGGAAAGGAAAGGAAAGGAAGGGAAGGGAAGGGAAGGGAAGGGAAGGGAAGGGAAGGGAAGGGAAGGAAATCATTGTTTAAATGTATACTCTGAAGATAGAACAAGTAGTGGTGAATTAAAAAAATGCAAACAGCTAATATTGAAAATGTAATCTCTGATTTCCTCATCTAACATACTTTGCATATGATCATACATTAGAGAACCCTCCATGGAAAAAAATATATATTATTTTGCTCTTAAAAGAATATGACCACATTCACTTTAAAGATATTTGTCCTTTTTTTTTTTTTTTATTTCCTGTAAGGCCTGTGCATTCACCAGGGAATGACAGAGAGAGAGAAAGTGAGAAAGTACTCCCCGGGGATTACAATCACACTGCCATCTTTCTCCTCCATTCTCCTCTCAGAACTTGGGACATGCACGCACGTGCGCCCAGCATTCATCAAGCCACCCTATCTGGGACTCAAACTACACAGTCTGTCTTGTGTGATCTAGTCACCTTAACCCTCATACCACCTGCTTGGTCCCCAAGACCTGGTCTTTATTTGCAATTATGATAGATTAGCCATTGGAGAATAACGAGCCTCACAGACACTGATCTTGTGGATTGCGTTATTGTTCCTGACCCTTCACATATCTCTGAATGCATTCTTTTTCCAAGGCAACTTTACATTTTTTCACCCACTAAAAGAAAAAACAGAGAGCACTGGCTCACTCTTTGACTTTGGTCTTAGCCAAGTTCCCTATTTTGGCCAATAAAACATGAGCAGGGCTGGTAGAACACCATTTCTGACCATAGGGCTTAAACACCCTCCTGTATTTCTCCTTACTCTTTTGCATCTCTTCCATTTGCCATGAGAAGTGCATTCCCCCCCAGGCAATGTTTCCTCCCCAAATAGGCTCCAGAATAAATATTCAGGAAGCAGAGCTAGCCCAGCCAAGCCAGCTGGCCTGAAAATTAGAGCACAGCTACCTAGCTAATACCAATCTTAAATCAGTGGACCTTCATGAATGCAAAGTTTCAAAAGAATAAATGATTGTTGATTTAAATATCTGAGTTTAGGATGTTTTTGGTTTGTCGCATTATGTGGCAATAGCTAACTAATATAATTGGCTAATTTGATGGAAATCTTTGCACTTGAGAATGTAAACAACACCTATAGGACAAAATTTATAGAAATTATCCACATTCACCCCAACTGTTTACATTTAAAAGTAAGTCCAGTTCCCATCTAAAATGTAAGCTGAAGAAGCTACCATACACTCAAGTGTACTTCTTTCCAGAAATAATTGTGCCAAAATCACTCAAAGGTTTTTCCTGATCCTCCCCTTACATTCTAAAGGCTAAACTTACAGAGAGTTTTATGTAAAAGGCTGAAGACCAAACATAGCTACGGATTTAGAGGAAGTGAAGGCAATATTTGGCATGTGGCCGTTACATGTTTGGCAGGTAATGTGATTTTCCCCTTTTCCTTTTGGTTTTTCTGCCTTGCCAAACATGCTTCGGATCCATTTACATATGTCCCCTTACCTATACATAGTCCTCCTTTTTCATTCAGGCAAGTTACATCAATATATAACTGCTACAATTTCCAAGCGATGATGCAAGCCATAATTAAGGATATTTCCCCATTTGAAACCAGAACCAAAGAAAAATATTAGCTAGCTTGGGTTCACGACACATTTTCAAAGCCACGCAAATCCAGTGTGTTTAGGTTCTTTCCAATGCCTAACTTCGCCTCAAAGTAAACTATTAAGGAGTCTTAAAATGTGAATCCTGGGTTATGAAACAGAGCCCAGATGGGTGTTTGGTGTTTCAGGCATCTGTGCACAAGAGTATCCTATCCATTGCTGAATATGTCTAACCTCTCATTTTTCTTTCAGTAGCTGCAGTTTTACTAGGCATACATTATGCAAAATAATTCTGATCAGAGCAGGCTAAATAAATAAATACAGTAGACAAACTCACTATGTTATGGTCTTGTTTATGTTTCCTTCTTTTCAGCTTGTTACAGATCTCTGAGGCCATTCATTCCAACTTTTTTCCCCCATCAGTGCTTCTTTAGACAACTAATTGGGGGCTTAAGTTCACTGGAGTTAATCTCTGGGAAAATAAGGTAAGGTCCCTACATACTGTTGCTCATTCATCCCACTAGTCACTGACTATCAAAAACTTTATTGACAGCTTGTCACATACAAGGCATTAATGTCTAGCAATTTAAGGGATATGAAAAGAATCCCACAAAGATCTGACTCACAAAGAGAATCCTCTTTCCATTCCTGTTCTTCCAGGATGTTACCTGCCCACCTTTCCAGAATTTCTACTCACAGGGAGGTCTTACCTTTTCACCTCCCACTAGCACACAGTTATATTTTTTATTTTTGATATTTTAGGTATGAAACTTTGCTCAAGCCAAATGATTACACATAAAAGTAGATCAAACTAGAGTTAGTTCAGTTAAAATTGAAAGAGACAGAGTCTAAGTCACTGCCCATTCATGCTTCCCTGACTTTTCATCCCAACTCATCCAATCACATTTCACAGGACAGCCCTAGGGGGGTTTCTAACAAGTGCTCATGAAATGCTACTGATCTAAGGTCAGCTCCATGGCCTGGTGTTTAAGGCAACTGGATCCCACATGGTTGAACAGATGGTTTGAGTCCCAGATCCAGTAGCTTGAGAAACATGCCAGGTGCATGTGTGTCCAAAATCCCAAAAAGAGGGAGAAATGGAGAAGAAGAAATTACAGCAAAGAGGTTGTGGCATGAACATTCCCCATTGGTGCGTGTGTGTGTGTGTGTGTGTGTGTGTGT